TTCCTGTGTCCTGTAAGGGAGGTTCGGGGGGGGGGGGGGGCGCTGTTTCATAACATTTCTGCATATGGACATACTAACAGTAAAAGAAGCCAGGGAAGTACAATGTTCATGTATGCCTAGCTAAACCAGGAGTTCTTTTAGTGTCAAAGAATGGAATAACACATGCTGGGGAATATCTGGCTGTCTTTGCCATGGTTGCCCATTCATCCCCCTCCCAAATGAATTTTCTCGGAGTTGATTTCAATATATTTCTCCTGCTTTCCAAACAGTGACTTATAAATCTTTTTAAAAAGATGAATATGTAGGTGTTGTAAAAATTTATAAAATATGAAGAACAACATACAACCACTCATGATTCTACAGTGTAAAAATAACCACTGATGGGCGCCTGGGTGGCTCAGTCGGTTGAGCGTCCGGCTTCGGCTCAGGTCATGATCTTGCAGTTCGTGAGTTCAAGCCCCCCATCAGGCTCAGCACTGGTGGTGCGGAGCCTGCTTGGGTTTCTCTCTGCCTCTCTCTCTCTCTGCCCCTTCCCCATTTGTGCTCTCTCTCTAAATAAATAAATAAACTTAAAAAAAAAACAAAAAAAAACACCGAAAACAGCTTCATGGAAGAGCTGTCTTGAAGGCTATGTAGAACAAACAACTTCTGTCTACAGAGTATGAAGATGTTCTTAAAAATTCATTAAGTAATACTGTATATTCAGGGATTCCTTCAGTAAACATTTTTAAACATCCATGTTGTTCTCCACATCTTACTAATTGATGTATATGATTGGCAAGGGGGGAGCAGTGAAGGAAGTTTTTAAAATTAAATTTGTTGCTCTTGGGGCACTTGGGTGGCTCAGTCAGTTAAGCATCCAACTTCGACTCAGGTCATGACCTCGCAGTTCCTGAGTCCCGCGTCCGGCCCTGTGCTGACAGTTCGGAGCCTGGAGCCTGCTTCGGATTCTGTGTCTCCCTGTCTCTGACCCCTCCCTGGTCACATTCTGTCTCTCTCAAAAATAAAAATAAAAATAAAAATAAAAAACATTAAATTTTTTTTTTAATTTGTTGCTCAAGATACATGAAAGTCTAGCCCAGAGGGATAGGATATACACGTGTGGAAAAGTTGGGAAAACATTCAGGGTCCTATAAGTGCCATATCTGTGGTATCGTATGTGAAAGCAGGAGGCAAAAAATGACCCTGAGTATCTTTATTTAACTGTAGAAGAAATACACAGTGGACAGTAGGTTATACAAATGACACCTTGAGAAACACGGGTTGTTTTTTTACTTGCTGGAGGATAAAATTTGGATTAGAAGTCACTTAAGATAGTCTGATTTAAGCAGTATTAGGAAATGATCAAACCTTAACGTGGTTGAATTCTAACCTTTCCTGACTCCCAGATTTAGAAGTCCAGAGTTCATTTGGGGGATAATTCAGTGTGCATTTAAGAAACACCTAAAATGAGCCGGGCAGCTAAATTTCGCTGAAAAATGTGATGTGTTTGGTTCTGTTCCAAATCCTGACATTAAATCAGTGCATTTTGAAAAAGCATTTTTGAAAAGAACACAAAAATTAACTTTTTCTACTGCAGATGGGTAAAATAACCATGTTAAGAGATAACACAGAAAAATCTAGGAGTTAAACCAAAGTATTGATATTACCACTAGGTGGTGAGAGAAGAGTGACTTTTTTCATTCTTTAAATGGCCTGTACGGGATTTTTTAATTTTTTATTATTTTTTTTAATATAAGCATGGACTGCTTTTGTAGCTGGGAAAAGGTGGGGCTGGTGTTTGTTTTTGAAGAGCTTTTCATCAGTGGCAAAGGCGCGGTTGAGATTAATACTGTCAAAGGGTAACTGCTTGTCACTGGTTATGAGCCCAGTGCTGAGATTTCCCGCAGGGGACAGTGGCGCCCATTGTGCCTGGAACTTCCTCAGGTGACCCAGGCCCCAGGCTGCTTAGTTTCCACACCGGCGCACAAACTCTTCGGGGACTGGTACGGCGGACACAGAACCTCTGTGTGGAGAGGTTTAAATTGCCGGCTTTATTTTTATGCCTGGCAACGACTGGAACGGAGAACCCACATTTGCACAAGCTGCCGGTTTCCTGTTTTCATTAAGAAAGCAGGGAATGCCGAGCAGCTGAGTGTGTGCGGGGGGCGGTGTCACCGGAGCCGGAGGGAGACTTCATTGGCGAGCATCGGGCCTATGGTGTCTGCGCGTGGCCGGGCGAAGTGTGCACGAATGTTGAACCTCTTTTCCTTACGGGGTGAAGACCGATCGAGGGCGCCCGAGGCAGGGCCGGGCGCGCTGGGAGCCAGCTGGTGAGCGGGGCGGCCGGCGGGGGGCAGGCCGGCGGGGAGAGAGGAGAGCGGGCCTGTGGGTGTGCGGGGACAGGGGAGCCGGCCGGCGGGGAGCGGAGCTCAGCGGGCGCCCGGCGGGTGGGCGGCGGGCGGCG